ACCACAAAAAATAAAAAAAGGTGAAGATTATGCACATGAAAGAGCAGTTGCTTTATTCCTTGGCCTCCACGTAGAATCAGTTAACACAGCTGTGGGTAGGGAAGCCAGAGGCTAGAAAATACAATGGCAGGTCAGAAAAAAAGAGCGGCTGTTACTGTAAGCTCTGGGACACCCAACCCCAGGGACGTCTGTCCTTCCCGCAGACCTACACAGGTCGGTCTCTGCAGGAAGGACAGCAGTGCTGCAGCTTGCCCTCACTCCAGTTTCTGAACACGGAGCTCCCAACAGTCTCAGAACCACTCAGTGACACCCAGTGCTCCCAAATCAAATGCCCTGGAAGACTCCGAGAGCTCAGCTCCAAGTGAAGCCACCTAGAGAAAGGGATTTGCTTGTGGAGACTCACTAAACCATCCCAACAGCAGGTGAGACCAGAGACTTTCAAGGAAGCTGTCCTACAGATGAGCGGTTTGCCCTGTTCTCACTGAGCACTGCCTTTTCTAATAGGCAGACGAAGCATCTGCCAGTTTGCATAGGAGCACCACAGTAAAAGACATCGCCTATAACACACGTCTGAGATGAATCGCTGTCACGGCTGCTTGGAAGTACCTTGGGGATCTGTTAAGTGGGTGGTGAGGGGCGAGGAACACGTGCATCAAACTCCTGTCTATGCAGGAGCAGCCACCTGTCCCTCCACCTGCCATTTCCAGTCCTTGTTAGCCACAGCCTAGGATCCTCAAGAGATCTGCTTCTATCCAGTTTAGCCGAGTTCATTAAAAACAGATTCACTGGAAAAAAAGAATAAACTTATGTTTTCCGCACAAGGCGCTCCAAACCTCGGGGACCTGTCGCAGAAAGCGCGGCCTCTCCCAGGGGCCTCAGGAGACAGACAGAGCAGCCAGGTCGCTCACAGAGACGAAGCAGGAGAGCTTCCACCTAAAACCCAGCTGGGACCATGGTCCCGACCCTGGCGAGGCAGTTCGGGTGCAGATGGGTCAGTGCAGAGAGACCCCCACCAAAGCCAGCTCTCCCAGGACCGGGGCAAGTGCCAGACACTCCAGCACGGCACCACAGCCCACTCCCCCTGCCCTCAATTACCTTCCGTGCCATAACGAGCCCTGAAGGTTTGTGCTGCACTTTGGTGACCACACCGCCATTGCCAGCCCCCAATTCAGAGATCCGCTCAAAGTCATCGTCCTTCAGCTCGCCCACTTTGGCTTTCTGCGTGAGGAAAGCTTCCAGGCGCTTCTTTTGCTGCTCGTCCAGCTCCAGTTCCTCGAGCTTTTTCTGAAGGTCCACCAGGTTTGCCCTGGAGCGGGGAGGAGGAGACAGGAGGGAGGTCAGGAGGCTCTGAGGGCAGTGCCAGAGAAAGAGGTTGTTTTTTTTTTAGGGAAGCAGAAGGAAACAACTGAAAACTGTCGTCTGACACATACTCAGCCCCTGATATAGCAGCAAGACTAAAGTGAAGCTCTGGAGAGAGGCAGGGCTCAGCTCCAGTGCTGACAGGGTCACACAGACAGCGAGACCCATGGTGCAATATCTGCCCAACACGCACATCTCCTCTGGAGAGGAGCTTTAGTACAGTCAGCTGTTTTGGGAAAGCCAAGGAGTAGGGAAAATCCTTCAACCCTTAAAGAGGCAGCACAGCTCAGCCCAGAGAGAACGGCAGCACCAGCAACCTCTCCCTCTCCCAGCACAGGAAGCCAAGCCTTGGTTTTGCTGCGAAACACGAGAAGGGCTTTCCAGGGTGTCCAGCAACCCCCTGCTCCGTTACGTCCCCCCCGCCGCCTCCCAAACCCACCGCTCCCGAGCACAAAGGGGTGTCTATGCTCCCCCAGCACCTGCTGCCGAGCTCCCATCGCCCACGCAGGCTCCAGCTGCTCTCTCCCATTTGCTGCCCACCCCCTTATCCCCCCAACCCAGGGCAATAGCTTGGGAGGGTCTCACCCCACCCCTTCCACCCAGCACCCCCACGCGATGCTCTGCCGTCCCCTAACACTGCCCATGCCCCCTCTCCACCACCCTTTGCCCCACACGGCCTGCCCACCCAGCCCTGACTACTGCCCCAAATCCTCCCCGCCAAGCCTAGGTCCCCATCCCAGCCCCGACCCGTGTGCCCAGGCCTGGTCCCCACATGCTTCAGCGGCTCCCACACCTTTCCCCAGCCTCCT